AAGAGAAGAGAAGAGAAGGGAAAAAGAAAAATGGTCACCGATGGCATAAAAATAAGGCCAGAATTCTGATGCCTTACAAAGAGGAGAGAAATTATAGGCAAGATCTCCACAGCACTCCGGAAAATGCTACTGAGGTACTCATACTATGGATGTTTGTAACTCCTGCTGAATAGGTAGAGAGAATATTAGTGTTTTCTTCCAGTGCGGAGGAAATTGAGGAAAACAGTCTTGAATTATAGTGTAGGCATTTTGCATTAAGGAAAGTGGTTTCATTCTTTTTCAGGAAAGGAATAATGGAAAGAATAAAAATACTGAAAATTGCTGAAGAAAGTGACATAGTGATATTCTCTCCCCAAAGGTCTGAAGGGCTAAAATAAAAACTATTACACTACAGAGAGAAATAAAATGCAGCGATTCCAAAACTTCGGTCAAATTAGCCAAATGAATGTATGTGAAAAATGCCATTAAATGTTTTCTTGTCCCATCACTTCCCCTATGCCAGGGAAAGCTGTGTGACTTCTCAAAGTGATAAGTAACTAAACTCTTGTATAATGAGACATTTTTCTTACAAGTAGATGAAGCGCGGAGTTGGAGGAAAGTATTCTGATATTTAGAGCACTTGTGGATTTTAATGTATGCTAAAAGAGGCAAAGAAGCAAGAAAGCAGACATGGATCTTGTTTTATCTGCTACTTTGTGTATGTGGTACCTGAGTGCAAACTGTTCCTTGGTACTGTTTCGCATCCTCTTTGGTATGAGAGCATATTCGTAAGTGTTGACTAAGGAGATAAGACTTACGAATTTTAACAATTTTTAGACATTAATATTCTAACAATACTAAAGAGGTTATGAGATATGGTAGAGAAGTATTTCTTCCTCTCTGAGGCTCCCATCCATAGTCAATACTGAATATTACAGGGAATTTTGTATATTTATGTGAGGGGGGAAGAAGGCACTCTTAAAATACATAGACAAAGAAGCAAAATAGGCTGAAATAAAGGATTTGCTCCATCATCAGTAGTTCTTTTTTTAAAGGGGTATATTGCTATTTTAATTCAGTCAGTCTCTCTTGTTTTAGGAAGTTCATATTTCCTCAGAGAATGTATCTCAGTTAAAGAGAATATAAATAGATAAGGATTCCTATGTAGATCATTTTAGAAGGTCAGATTATTAATCAATACTTATTTTAAACCAAAGAACTCTTTCTCTTTCCTGCTATATTCATGTCCAAATATCTTCAGTATTTTACAAATACACATTATCTTAAAAATTCTTAAAGATTTTGAAATTTTAAATGCTGTATTTCAGCTCCTTAAAATGTCATACACTACACAGGCAATTGATATTCTCCTTTGATATTGATATTAATAAATTTGTTCTGAAATTCCTTTAAACGTTTATGTCATTTGGCCATACAATATAATAAATTACTATAGTATGTAGGGCTTCTGGGTGTAAGCTGACTATCTTGCTGCTGCCCTAATTGAAATGACTGATACTTTAAAGAAATCGTAAGTGACATAATCAGAAGGGGTTAATAACAATAAGAAAATATTTTTATACTAAGTTGATTATAGATAATTTTTGTGAGACCTTCAAGGAATATTTACACTGAAAAGCAATGTCTCATGTTTCTGTAGAAACACAGAAAATTGCCTGAAGATGTGATAAAAAACTAAAGAATTCAAAGGAAATATTTTAAGTAAAAAAAAAAAAAAAAAAAAAGACCAAAAAAGGGAAAGAGAATAGGGAAATACAGAAGAAAAAAAAAAAAGGAGAATTAAATTGCTGAAGAATTCAAGAGGCTAGTTAGAATTCCAAGCAGCTTAGCACAATTGGGGTTCAAGTCAGAGAAGCAAATCAAAGTGAGATTCAGAAACTAAAGATCATTCCTGTCAGATAAACAACATGAAAACAAAAACTTCCTGTTTTAAATTGGGAATGTACAATGCTGCTTAAATTATCAGCAGCTGAAACTGTTCAAAGGAAAATTTATGATCTGATGAAAAAATGTACATTCTACAGAACTATGTGTAAAAATAAGCCTCACATGCAGTCATGGAAAATAAAGAATATATTGATAGCCTGTGTAGACCTGGTGCATATGAAAGCATTGTTTCATTGAGGGACCACAAAGTAAGGAGTTAATTAGAATAATTTCCATCTTTAAAAGTTACAAACCTCTGAATGAAATGAGAGACAATCAGCTGACTTCTAAAAATAAATGCATCTTCTCTTGGTGAAGTTTATTAGGAGAGTGAAGAGATTATTTATTTATTTATTTATTTGCTTGTTTTGTATAGGGAAAGAATATTTTCATCGATTAAAAAGAAACATAATTAAATGATAACTAAATCATCTTAATTCCAAATCTGGATCTCAAGTGATGAGACTAAATATGGCTCTTTTTCCATAATGCTATTAAAAAAAAAAACCAAAAACCAAAAACCAAAAAACAAGGAAAATAAACAAAAAAGCAAGTTGAAAAACTGAATTCTCTACTAAAACAGAGGTGAAGATTTTTGTTAACAGATCAAAGAGAATGCCTTATGTAAAAGACAGGTGGTACAGTATTCAGTAACTCCTTTGCTATTATTTTATCCTAGATGATTTGCTTTTTTATTTCCTAAGTGGTTCTTTTCTATGTTCCTCCTTTCATTTTTTTTTCTTCCCTTATTCCTTGTTACCCTCGTAATTTATTTTTCTTCAATTTTTTTTTTCTTTTTCTATTTCCCTCTCATTTTCCACAGAAGATTCCCTCTCTGATTCCCTGAATTTTGTGCTCCTTTAAACAATCTCTTCAGTTATTTCCTCCCTCATCTTCTCTTCTCATGACCTTCCTAGCTGCAGGCAACTTGACCTCACAGGATGTAGCACTTTATTTTTTATTTATTTATTTATTACTAAGACCACAAGTGAAAGACTCATATACTAATATAGGCCACTGTGCAGAAAGAAAGTGTTAACCCTTCTTGTATCTCAAATGAAAACTCTCTGCTAAAATGCCTTTAAGCAATTGTAAAGTGGAATAGCACTGGCTGCTCCTAATTGAATACTGCTCCTAAGCTTTTCTTGAGAACAAATACTTTGAATTAGAGTCTGGCTAGCAGCTATTAAGCTTGAAACCAATGCAAACCTTCTCTGATAGCTAGAAAAAGGGCTGCTTCTACTTTGGTCCCTGGTATCCTGCTCAGTGAAACCCTCTGGCTTTTCTGAAGCTGAATGTGAGATAGTCCCTCCTGTAAGTTATTCTTTCAGCACAAAGAAAATGAAAGAAACAGAAAATAAGCTATTCTCTGTATTAAGTAGTGGAACTACTTTTGCTCCCGATGATCCATGATTGAAGTAGCATTCCAAATATCTGCAGGGGGGAGCAGAATTTGAGGATTCAGGCAGCACTGTCTTCTGGCTTTAACTTAGCCACTGCCACAAACTCCTTGCTCTTTGCAGAACAGTCAGTCCTTGAAGAATGAATATCAACACCACACTAGGGAGTTCGTGTCCTCACTGTGTATCTGATAGCATACCTGCTTTTGCTTCCAATGAACTTTATCCTATCACAGAAGCAAGGTTTGCCCCTGGTTGTTTCCTACTCGTCTGAGGACAAAATAATGCATGAGTTTGTGTCCCTAAGCAAGAATAATTTTCAAATACCTCTCTTCAACCCCCAGACATGAAGTTAAAAATCCTGTACAGCAATTTGTACTACCTGGAGATTTATGAGTCTATACCAGTTATTAAAATCAAATGCATAATCACTATTCTTGTGGGAGAAGATTCAGAGAGTAGGAGTCATTTAAAATGGCCACAGAAACCAATAAGATACATTGAGGAGATAAGAACTAGATCAAGTTCAATAGGGTATAGGTACTAAATGGTGGCCCTTTGATACATACAATAATTGAGGATTAAAATAAAAGTTAGGATTGCTCACTGTCATTGGTCATCTACCATTTCTAAAAAATGAAGGCACTTCTTCATCTGCCAAAATGGTAACGGGCTCAAAATAGTGTCAGTGTTACTGCAGTGTCCCTGAAATTAACCCTCCCTATCACTCTGAATTCCTAATTTTCCAAGTTGTGCATAAGCACTTTCCTCAATCTATCCAGTACTTTATTATTCTAAGAACTTTCAACAGACTTTATCTGTGTGGAGAGATAAAAATAAGAAGTCTCCGCCGTATCTTTTTTAAGAACTCAATTACCTTATATTTTAATGATAATTTAGTTTTTGTCCTCAATCTTGGCTTTGAAAAACCTTGAATTTAAAAAGGTTTTGGTAGAGAACAGAAGTTGCAGATCAGAAACATTTTCAACCTGAACTACCCCCATTTTGGTTATCGGAAGTGGCATTGCCAAAATGAAGTTTTAAATGAAGGGTTTCAGAAAAGTTTTTTATAAATACATCAGATAAAAAACTGTCACACCCTTTCTTCCACTCTTTCTTACTTCATTGTTTTCTCATTAGCTTCTTTCTTCCTTTCATTAATAAAAATAAACACTACAACAACCCTACTGAGTGAAAACAGATGCAGATAAGTGAATTTGAAGTCTTATTTTACTTATCTATACTTACTTGCATGTAGGTGTCCTCATCTGCTTAAGAAAATGTGATGATTTACGTTTAGTCATTCAACTAATTTACAAGCTATCTTATTTTCCACCCCGGAGAGAATTTTTTAACAACGGGGCATTTAGATTGCTTAAAAATCTAGCAAAGCTGGAATCACTACAGAGAAATAAATGTTCATCACATCTTCCTAAAGAATGGGAAATCATAAATCTGGTGTTCATTTAGAGCAGTGACAAGGGCATGCATTTTGTGAAATCTCTAGCTTTGCTTCTCCAGTTAAAGAACTTGATAAAAACAGAATATTAAGACAGTAAGATATTATTTAGTGTATCTTCTATATTTCTTATACAGTTATGTGGTTTGCAAGAGTAGAAAGCAAGGTTCTCATAAGCAAGTCATTCAGACTAGTGTATGTGGAAAGCCACTTACCATGTACCATGACTTGGATAATAACAGAAGATTGTCTTCATGGTAACTGTTTATGCAGATAACAGGTAGTTCTCTCCTGAAGTTTCTGTTAATCATTAGCAGGTGACTTTAGCAATAAATATCATACAAGAGATTAAGGCTGTGATGTATTGCAAGACTCACATTTTAATTGAATTTGTCCAGGTTTTATTATTAAAAGAGGATGTGAGAATCAAGGATAGATCAGTAAGCTACTGTGGGGAAAAAAGAGAGAGGCAAAAAAAAGTTCTATACAGAGTTCAGGGGAAGGAATGTTAATGAGGTGTTTTGATGTTTTGGAGCTACAGGCTTTCAACCATAGTCACTCACTTTCCCTTTCTTCCTTTCCCTGGTGGTTTCTGGTTTTGCTCGACATAGGATATGCATCTGGCTCTGCACTCTTCTCTGTGGTACAATTAATGCTGGCTTTGCATGCCAACTTTCTTTGTCTCAAAATCACTAGGGAGAAAGAATGCTAGAGTAATTCTTTTATGTCATTTAATACAATAGTCTTCTTCACAGGATTTAGTTTGCAAGCAATTATCTTCACTGTACATCATTAGGTTCCAACCAGCTCCAGTGCCCACTCTGTAAAATACTGTCTTGCCATTCACTGTGTCAAGCCTCGATTAATCCAAGAAGCATGCTTCTGTAATAGGTCCTGATGCAGTGCAAAATACTTTAATGGTAAGATTCACAGATTTTGCTTCACATTCTTCTTTTCTGTGCCTTTGTGTAAGTGATGCAACAGTTCATGAGGCAGATGTATATGTCAACACAGCAGCAGCAAAGCAGGCCCTGAAGACCATGAATAGAAGCAGTACTGCAATGTAATACTATATCAGTGGGATATTTACTTTTCTTCAGCATGCTTCTGGAATGCTTAAGATTTAAAATCTTTCTCTACACAAAAACCATGATATATAGTCTTTGCAGGGAGGGAGAAATAGTGAAAATCTCCCCTCTTCCTTCCTGGTTTCCTTCACTTTATTCTCGTCATGATAAGACCAAGGGTGAGAATCTAGGACAGAGGAAGAGAAAAGGCTGCATGTCTTCTTCCTAAAACATTTTCTCAGTGGACTTTTCTCCCTTACATCTCAGAGTGGAAAAGGGCAGTGACACAGTGGAGCAGATTACAACTCTTCCAAAATAAACTGAAATTCCTGCATTTCCGTTCTGATTCTTCATAGATGCAGCACTGCAACCTTTTTTACTTTTGTTATAAAAATAGAGACTGCCTTCTATTATTTGCTGTTTATCAATTATCAATTCCATTTCTTTTATTGTGGGAATATTTAATCATTATTTTTTCCTTTACTTGTTTGCACATCTGGATAATCTCCATAGCAACTGATGCATGCCAGGTGTCTGTTCAAAAGAATGCTATCCTCCCAGTCTCTCTCAGTAAATTCATCACATTAATTGCCAGGCAGATATTAAAGAAAACCCAAGAGTGAATAGCAGATGAAAAAGATATATATCTTACTTGAACCAGTATAACCAATTTCTGTATCATATGCAATGGATGAAATGTATAAATCACACGGGTGTGATATAGATTGATATGCAAAATAATAGAACTGCAGCATTAGTTGGAAAGTGGAGAAACTCATGCTTCAGAAAAAGTCCTGCTAAACGTACTAGCCTAAGATTGCATGCTGACAGCAGCTACTTTATTTATTTGCTTAATTATACTAAGGTAACATTAAGTTGTACAGTTAAGAATTCGAATATCAAGGAAATAAGATAATGAGGTGTTAAAACCCGTATTAATCCTGTAGTTCTCGCACTGAATTTTTACACATATTGAATTTCAACCATATATTTATATATTGTATATAAATATATATTTTCTCAAAAAATGGGAGTTTTGAATGCACAGAATTATTTCTTCTTTAGAATTCTAAAGGCAAGTGTATTTCCCCTTCCTGTTCAAGATATGAGAAAATAAGAAAATAGAAAAGAAATTATTACACTGAAAGATTCAGTATTGTCAGAATTACATAAAAAGAACATCTTTGTCCCCTTATGACAGATAATCTATTAATTTCTTTTTTTTAGCATCTAATATTCAAGAACATCTCACCTGAAACTGATAAAGTACCAGTGCTCAACATTTGCAATTATTCCTATAAGCGTTTACTGACCAAATATCAAGTCATTTAAGCTGCTTTATGTCATGCTTATTTTTGAGACCAGTTTGTTTTTAAGACTCTTCAGAATATTTTAAGATAATAATATAATTGCTCATCTCCAATCTCCTTTTGAAGTATTTGTTGGTCTATCAACAAGAATTTACTGTATTTGATCATGAAAAAGTTTTGCAACTAATATCTCAGGAACACTTAGATATGAAATTTTGTTGCAGTAAATAATCACATTTCTGTTCTGAAGCTATTTATTATAGAAACATGGAAGCATGGAATATTTAGAGTTGAAAGGAAATTTTAATATCATCTTGTCCAACTTCTCTGCAATGAGCAGGGATATCCACAGTTAGATCAGGTTGCTTAGAGCCTGGTCCAGCAGGGCTTTCTAGTCTGTTATTAGTAAATGAAGTAAGTTCATTCTCTCTTTCCCTTTCCCTTTACACCTCAATAGTGCTTTCTGCTTCTCTCTCCCTCTCCTTTTTATTTTCCCCTTCATATTGTGCCAGTGAACTAAGTTGCACACTTACACTTAGAGTTCACGTGAAAAGGTGACTTTGTAAAAGAACTACGCAGTTTGATGAAGGATCATAAATGAAATTGAAGTACTTTTTCTTATGTCCTCTGCTCCTTAAATAAAAATTAATGTAACATGTTACTGTGTGTATATAGAATAGCAGCAAACTGCTGCTAATACTCTCCATACATATTCTTGAAAATTAAAATATCATTTTAAGAGTTACATAATATGCTTCTGTTTTGGGGTTTTTTTTTTTAAGTTTTAAAAATTTGTACTTATTTTTGTTACATAAAAAGAAATTTTATTTTTATTTATTTATTTATTTTTCCTGAGGAGTCATTACATTGAAGAGACTAAAAAATCTCTTTGGTCACTTGAATATTCTCACTTAAAAGAAAAAGGATTTTCTCCCAGTCATAGCTTCTACAGTCTGTGCAACGCCTCTTGTTTATCTTCTCTTTGTATAACACTGAGAGTTATGATAGTATGAGCATGGGGGATTTCTCCTACTGATGAAATCAGGCCAGATTTTTTCCAAAGTTATGGCAGGCAAGCTACTTGTCATAAAATTATTAAACAAAGCTACTCCACACTTATTACAGCATAAAAATATTTATATGGGTAAAACTTTGAAATATCCAAGACACTAGCAGGGAGAATCTCTTGAGATTCTGTCCTGAAGTGTTAAAGGGTCCGGGAAAACTGGACTGTCCTCCAGAAGGAAGTTTTAAAGGCACAGGAGCAGATAACATGAGCCAAAGGGAAGGAGGACTGGTGTGGATGAACTAGGAGCTTTTTCAAAGGGTCCAGGGGAAAAATAGTCTACCTTCTGTGTAACAAGGGACAGGCAAATCAGGAGAGTACAAAGAAGCTGTTAGGATATACAGGGAGAAAATAAAAAATGAAAGAACCCAGCTTGAACTCAACCTGGCCACTGTAGTAAAAGAGAAAAATGTTTTTTAAAAATAAATTAACAATAAGAGGAAGGCTAAAGAGAATCTCCATTCTTTTCTGGATGCAGCAGGGAACATGACCTCCGAGGATAAGGAAAAAGCTGAGGATCTCAATGCCTTCTCTACATCTATCTTTAAAAGATGAGTTATCCTCAGGGTACTCTACCTGTGACCTGGAAGTCTCAGATGGGGAGAAGAATAAACACACCAACATTCAGGTGGAGACAGTTAGAGATGTACTACTCCACCTGGACTGGCCCACCTGAGGGGTGCTGAGGTGGAGGTAATTGCAAGTCACTTCTCTCCGTCTATGAGTGTTCCTAGTCAACTAGAGAGGTGTCAGAGGATTGGAGGCTTGCCAACGTAACTTCCATCTGCAAGAAGGATAGTAAGGAGGATCTAGAGAACTAGAGGCCTGTCTGCCTAACTTTGGTGCCAAGGAATGTCGTGGAACAGCTCGTCTTGAGATCACATGGCATGTGTGGGACAACTGGGGGATCAGACCCAGCCAGCATGAGTTCATAAAAGACAGGTCCTGCTTGACCAATCTCATCTCCTTCTATGACCAGGTGACAAGACTGGTGGATGAGGGAAAGGTTGTTGAAGTAGTCTACATAGACTCCAGCAAATCCCCTGACACTGTCTCCAACAGTACTCTTCTGGAGAAGCTGGCAGTTTGTGGCTCGCATCAATACACTCTTTGCTGGATAATGAATGTACTGGGTCTTTCCTAGAGAGTGGTGGTGAATGGAGTTAAATCCAGATGGGGATTGGTCAAGAGTGGTGTTCTCCAGGGGCATGTCTTGTTCAATATCTTTATTGATGACCTGAACAAGAGGATTGAGTACACCTTCACTAAGTTTGCAAATGACACCAAGTTGGGAGGAAGTGCTGATCTGCTAGAGGGTTGGAATGCCCAACAGATGGGTCCGAACAGGCTGGATCACTGGGCTGAGGTCAGTGAGATGAAGTCCAACAAGATCAAGGGCCGGGTCCTGTGCTTTGGACACAACAACCCCAGGCAATGTTATGGGCCTGGGGCAAAGTGTCTGGAAGACTTTGCAGAGGAAAGAGATGGGGGTGTTGGGCAACACTTGGCTGAACATGGACCAGCAGTGTGGGCAGGAGGCCAAGAAAGGCTACATTGTTTTGGTGTATATCAGAAATAGTATTGCCAACAGGAGCAGGGAAGTGATAGTCCACCTATACTCATTACTGGTGAGGCTGTACCTTCAGTACTATGTTCTATTTTGAACCCCTCACTACAAGAAAGACTTTGAGGTCCAGGAGCATGTACAGAGAAGGGAAAAGAAGCTGGTGAAAGAACTGGAGCACAAGTCTTATGAAGAGCAGGTGAAGGAACTGGGATTATTTAGTCTGAAGAAAAGGAGGCTTAGGGGAGATAAGTTGTAAGGGAACCTTCTCAAGTTGCGTCAGGGGAGATTAATATTGGATATTGAGAAAAAATTATCTGAAAGAGGGTTAGGCTCTGGAATGGATGCCCAGGGAGGTGGCTATGTCACCATCCCTGGATGTTTTCAAGAAACACATAGATATGGTATTAAGCAACATG